GCCACCCCTATGATGCTAGAGATAGGTCCCTAAATAATGATTGCTTGTGTTTGCATTTGCATGGCCCCCTATAGTGGGGCCACATACTTAGCATTCTTCGAAATACTCAGGCCGTGTGCCACATTATTTTTCAGGTCAAAGCAAGGTGCACTTGTACGGAGGACGGCTGCATCACGAGCAGAGACTGCTGCACATGCATAGGGTAAACTTTTTAACAAAATAAAACAACCAAAACTTAAAGCATATCAACATTATATCAAAATAAAGATGATACAAAGTATTTTAAAACACAACACAATAGTTAAAACACACGTTAAGGGACGGAGCAAAAGGTTTGAAGGACGACAGGTGAGGTTTGTCTATGGCATTTGCTAAGAGTCCATTCCCGACCTTGGCCAGCTCCTTATTTCTTGAAAAAAAAATGGAGAATAAGGAATGAGTACAAGACTCAGTAAGCAGCCTACTTGTAGACTCTTAATCGTGTCCTTTATATACTAGGGTACCACACTTTTTCTTTTCTTATTCTTGTTACTATTGTAAGTTCTTGTTATGTTTCTTAATTCGTTCTACATGGTTGTGTTTTCTAGAGAATAGTTGCTTGAAGCGTTTTTCGAAGTTTATGTTATAAATGATGTTCATGTGAGTGTAATAGAAAAATATATATATATATATATATATATATAATAAATAAATAAATAAATAAATAAAAAAACAAAAATAATTATAAAAAAGAGTTAAAATAATAATATTAAATAAATAAGTAAACAAAAAAAAAAAAGAAAAACCCCCTTTCCTCACTCCTCTCCACCAACATCTCATCCCTTTCCACAATTATCTCTCCTCAACCCATCCTTACCCCAGAAAAAAAAACATAAAAAAAACAGTTGTCATATTTGAGGAAACAAATGAGAATGATCTTTACCGAGTAGAGATTCTCGGGAGACTTACGTGAAGATACATATGATAAATAAGGTATATATTAAATTCATTTTTTTTATCCTATTTTTTTTTAGAGATCACACCAAATTATGGTTAGATGTTCATTAAATTATTACAATGGTTTTGACTATGTGTTCAAGGATATGTTTGAGATAGGATACGAGAAGGATGCACAAAACGAAATGTAACGATAGGAGTAAGATACGTTCATGAAACGTTAAGGTTAGGTTACATACCGGAGTGCTATGGATAGGAGAGATTGATGAAAGAATACGGTTAGGATATAGGTAGAAAGGGATAGGTTTGTGATAGATTCATAGAACGATAGCGTTAGGATACGTTCAGGTGATGATATGACTAAGGTATGTTCACGTAACGATACGACTGTGATAGATATAAGAACGTTAAGGCTATGATAAGTTAGGGAACGATATGTCCACGAAGTGTTTACGAAACGATATAGTGTGATGTGAGGTGTTATGTTTAGATTGTTTTGTGTGACCATGGAGGTAATTGTTGAATGAATTGCACGTTATGAAATGACACGTTAAAAGCATGGAGCGTTATGTTATGTTTTCCAAATTGTATGTATGCAACATGTTATGAATGACATGATATCACGATAAATGAAATGAAATGTAATCCCGTTAAGATTATGTATGATACGTAGAGTGAAAAAGTAGAAATGACATGTTAAGCATGGAAGATGATAGCGGGGTTATATTCATTAATGGAAAAAGTAGAAATGTTGGGGACGTGTACATCCAATGGCAAGTCAACGATCGTTACGTTTTGCATAGCGCTACCGTGACGGTTAGTAGTTCTAATGGGTGTCCGGCCTAAGGAGCACCCAGAGTATGCTCTCCCGACAAGGAAAGTGGACCAGCGGTGTGCGAACCGACTGGTGAGCCCATAATCGCATGTATGGGTTGTGTGTAGAGTATATGGTATACGCCCAAATTACTCGTTTGGACATTGCCGTAGGAAAATAGATTGAAAGGATTAGGTCCCGTCATTGCATTCACATGTTCTTGCATTTAGTAGCGACTCTGAGTATGTGGAAATTTAGGGTCGTTACAATTGCACATTTGAGTTATCAATTATCCTAAATTTTTAACAAAAAAAGGTGCATGCATGTCGATGAAATATCCAAGTTGCCATCTAAGAATAAAATACAGATGTCAACACGAATATTAAGGTCTTAATTTTGTTAATAAATTATAGCACAAAAATGGAAGGAACTTGAGAAGGAGACATTGCAATGGAGCTGGGAGAAGTTTATGATTGGCGTTGGAGAGAAAAAAAAGCGCAATCTAAGTTTTTCGGTCGTTGTCTGTGATTCTATACTAAATAAAGCGTAACCTAACAAGCGAACATGCTTAATATCCATTCAGTTTTTTCCGCTTTCCTTTCAAGAGCGTTTAACATAAAAGTATATCTTTAAAAGTTGTTAAAAAGGAAAATTTGTTGTAGCACAAAGATTATATATATATATATATATATATGGTTCAAAAGGATCCAAAATGAAACACAAACAAATTCGAAGTCAATTTAAAAGGAAGGCTATGAATAACCTCTATATGATTTTGTTGATAACTTTTGCATCAACTTCTAATGTTTTCACTTGTTTTGCACTCATGCCACCAGGAACGCATTGGAAAGTGACGATTCTTAATTATCAAGATGTACCTCTATTGGCCCATTGCAAGTCGAAAAACAACGATTTAGGTAAATAAAGATGTTGCATCATGACAAACTATTCAACCAGACCATATTATTTTATGTATATCTAAATTTATGTAATTGTTTCTTGTTAATTTAGTCTTTTGGTGGAATTTCAAAACATCATAAATTTGAAGAGTATAATATCCAACCTTAAAAATTCTAGATGAACAATTCATTTTCTATCTCAATTTAGGAAAAAAAAAAAAAAAAAAAATACAAGTTTTGATAAAATAATTGAGTTTGGCTATATAGGATATTTTGTTTTTTTATCCTTAAGAGTCCAATTACAAGCTCCTTTAGAAGGTGGTTTATTTTTGTTTTTGTTTTCTTTTTTTTTTTAGTTAATAAATATGTGGGGTGGAGTGTTTGAATATTTAACCACTTTGCAGATGCATGTGTGGTCTTGACTAGTTGAGCTACACACAAATTGATATTAAAGAATTTTTGTTAAATTGAACATTTTGACTATGGAATTGTATCAACTCTTATGGTTCTAATTTTTTTTTTTTTCATCTTTTTCAATATGAATTTGTGCACACAATTTAGGGGAGCATATTCTTCCGTTGAAACAGGAATACAGCTGGGAATTCAGAGAGAATTTGTGGCAGACGACATTGTTTTGGTGTAACTTTAGCAGCAATTATGGGAAGCTTTCGTTCGAGGTTTTTTGGCCAGAGAATGAACTTTGGCTTCAAGAACGATGCAACTATTGGCACTGCATTTGGCGTGCAGATAAGAAGGGTTTTTCTTTGTATAATGGTCAAACAAATGTGTACGAGCTCATACATCCATGGACTTCTTAGACAAAACCATCACCTTCGCCTTACTTCACATCAAATCCTTTCTTTTGTGTGAGAGTTGTGACGTGCTTGCTGCAACATTACTCTAATAAAAAGTTTACTAATCGTTTTATATGGAAATTTTTAAGATAAAATACTCGTGTCAAAATATTCAATTTGTTAAGGAAGAATAAGATATTGATGTGAACTTGAATATCATACTTTCCATCTTTTAGAAAAATATCGAGCACAAAAATGAAATAAATTTCAAAGTATATACACAAAAAATAAATGTATATTTGACAGAAAGGATGAAATTTTTACCCAAATCAAACTCAAAAAGATGGAATTCTTATCTATTTTTCTTCAGGTTCAATGCCAAGAAAATATGATAAATATGGTTAAGAGAACCATTTATAACACTGCCTTCATTTACCTGAGATAATTTATGCTAATTAAGGAGAAAATATCGAAAATGCAATGGTCTCCTTGTGGTTTTCTTTATTTTTTTAATTAAAATTAGCACAACTTTGTTTTTCATCAAAATCAAAAATAGTAAATAAAAAAGAATTGATATTTATAACTATGCTAACACATAGGGATATCCAAACTCAAAATTCTTATACCATTTAATATTTTGCATGGATATTAACGATAAATTACCTTCCCAAAGAGGATTAAGAGATTGCTCAACCCAAGTTTTTTTTGGGTGTATAATGAACAAAAACCCAAATGGCTATGCATCCATAAAAGAGGGAATGATCACTTTTAACACCCTAAAGTGTTAACCCAAAACATACATCAAGTTCTTACTAGCGTTACATCATATCATAACCTACTAAACAAGGTTAGATTGCGTACCTGGTCGCGGCGAGGCATGTCGTCGAGCTGAGTCATAGAGGTGTACGACTCTCTATCCTAGGAAAAGTCTATAGAATCAAAAACCCGACTACTCTAATACCAATCTGTCAGGACCTGACTTTCAAGGCTTCAAAAGACCGAATCGTAACTAAAAAGACGAAATCGAAAACAAATAAAAAAAAAATAAAATAGAAGGTAAAAATCCGGAAAAATTTAAAACAAGAAAAGGAAATCAAGGACACCAAAATTAAATATAAAATCAAAATCAAATGTTACAAATAGGAATTGCAAATATAAAATGAAATACAAAAGACTCCAAATATGAAAACGGACGAAGGACTCTAAAAGACCGACAAGGGACTAACGCTCTAGAACGACACCCCTCTGTGACAGTGCAGCTCTCGAACATCTTCTCGTATCGACTGGTACCTGAAAAAAAAAAAAGGAAGGAAAGGGGTAAGTATAAAAATATACTCAGTAACCAACCTACTTGTAGGCTCTTTTCGCATCCTTATCTTAGTGGGTATACACGGTCTTATCTCTGGATTCTAGTGAGTGCAAATCATGCTCCACCTCTCTTTTCTGTATCTTGGGAGGTTTGCCTATCTTATGCAGTGAAATGATCAGTGTCCTGAGGTGAAGCGCGATCTCATAAGTAATCTGAGGGGATCATATGGCTGGATCTGAATACATGACTCTCTCTGAATATCATCCGTGGAGGTTAGTTGACGACCCTTACATGGGACCATACATCCACTAAATGGGGTGCGACCCCCTGTGTGTCGGTCAGCTACTGAGTTATCCTACGTGGCTCCATGTCCCCTGCTCAGGGACGGGTTTCTACTGCCCAAGAAACCTGTTCAGAAGACCCCTTAGCTATCACCACTAGGTCTGGGCACCTTTCACACTTCCCTATCCGGATCTGCCAAGCTCAATGATCTCCGTACCGGAGCTCTGTCTCGACGGTACGGTATCGGAGAAGAGAGGGAAGTGGAGGTTCTGATGACACTATCCACACTGCTAAACTCTAGCGGGCTACCTACAGTTACCGTGGTGACCTACTATTCTTTCTAGGGTGGAACTTGGTGGCTTAGACTTGGATTCATGCATCTTTAGGATTCTCGTGCAAGGTCTCACAAACCTATCAGGTTTCAAATTCTAGGCTCTGGATCCGCCGGTAATCGTTTCGCAGGTCAAAATGCACGGTATTCTAGAGGTCCCCCAATCTAGGGTCTCATCTAGCCTACTTAGTCACAAATACCCTAATCTAAGCTCATAATTTCTTCCTGTTCATCAAGAAAGATAACACAAGCCATCATCATGCATAGGAGTTAACATGCAGCAGTTCATGCAATATTAACAAACATGCTCAACGGGAAGATAACGTCCACCTTTACCTGGAGCGCAGATTTCACAATTTTTCCATCCTCCTCATGCATACATACTTTATCAGAATCTTAATCAAAACAGATTTAATAAATATTTCATATCTAGCTTTCCTTAATCATTTTATTTTCACAGTTTCCATACTAATATGCTAGGTCCGGCTAGCTAATTTTATGGGTGGTAGCATGCATGCATGTTCCTAGCGGTTCCTACAAGTACTGCTCGTGGGAATTCAAATGGCTACTTACATGGTTGACGCGTGCCTTCCCAAGCTCGAATCATTTGCCGGAAAAGGTTCCAAAAATTATGGAATTTCCTTGATAGGTTCTAATTCACATAAAAATAGGATCAGAGTTGAAATCGAGGCAAAAAACAAGCAAACGGAGGTCGAACGGTCACTCACGCGCCTACACGCGCACTGACACGCTCTGGAGGGTGTACTACGCGTGACTTCTCACGCAGTCGCAGGCCAGCGACCGGTCGGGCCAGTTCGAGTGGTTCGGACTCAGGCCGACCCGATTGCACGGCGCCTGATGCGCTTCTTCAGCCCGCGGTCGCCACGTGTCGCTCGTCGATCCTGCAGCGCTCCTCCGTACGTCGGCCGACATGTGGCGGCGATTCCTCCTCTCTCTTCTTGCGTTTTTTTTCCAATTTTCCAGAAACGTGAGTTTTGGTGTTTTCGATCCATTTTCTTCTGATTTTTATATCTTCCAATCCATAATCCGAATCAACAAGTTCTCTTCACGAGTATTATAGATGTCATATTCTATTTCTACAATATATTTTTCTTTTTTTGGTAATCACAGGTCTTATTATTTGAGTTCGAATTTGGGGAAAAACACGAGTTCTTACCGAAAATAACGTTTTCTTGAAACTCCAATTTTCGTCCAGAAACTTCAAAACACCTGTGTGAATCTTATTTTAGTTACATACCTCAAAAACTCTAGATCTAATGCTCATGAAATTTCTTAGATCTAGATAAAATCGAAACACGAAGTTTAGAATCTTACTTTGTCCGTTCTTAGATTTTTTTGCTGGAATGAGTGGATCCACCACCCAAACTTCTTTTCTAGCACCGAGAGGAGTATTGCTTCGAAGTTTCTTACCTTGGATTAGATCTCCAACAACAATTTGTCTTCTCTACTATTCCTCTCTCCCAAACCCTAACTTCTTCTCCTTTCTCCTTTCTCCTTTCTCTCTCTCTTTTTCTTTTCTTTCTTTTTCTCCTCTTTTTAGAGCCCAAACAACTAGACCCTTTCTAAGAGACCCTTTGTAAGAGACCCTTTTGCCCATATGTTGTTATTTTATTTATTTATTTATTTATAAAAAAATTCGAGTATTACTTCTTATCTATTTTTCTTTCTGTCTTATCTATTTTATTTTTATTTTCGGTTCAATGGGAAGAAAATATGATAAATATAGTCAAGAGAACCATTTATAACACTTCCTTAATGTGCTTGAGATAATTTGTGCTAATTAAGGAGAAAATATAGAAAATCAAACAGTCTCATTTGTGGTTTCCTTTATTTTTTTAATTAAAATTAGGACAGCTTTGTTTTTCATCTCAATCAAAAATAGCAAATAAAAAAGAATTGATATTTATAACTATGCGACACATACGGATATCCAAACTCAAAACTCTCATAGCATTTAATCTTTTGCATGGATATTAACCTTAAATTACCTTCCCAAAGAGGATTAAGAGCTTGTTCCACACAACTTTTTTTTGGGTGTATAATGAACAAAAACCTAAATGGCTAAGCATCAACAAAAGAGCCTCGAGTATCTAAAGAAAAATTGAAGGATCCATTATTATTAATACACGTTTTGCAGGATCCAAGATACAAGCTATAGGGAGCAAAGGGCAAGAACCATGGAGCGAATGACAAGTGGCTATCTACAATTATCAAACAAACTAAGTTTTAAATGTTCATTGCAAGTCAAGAGATGACGTTTGAGCGAAAGCATTTTGGACAAGCATGCCCGATTCAACTAGAGCTTCACAATGAACTTTTGGCGTACGACTTTATTTTGGTGCAATTTTAATGGTTAGAATGGACATGCTTCATTTGAGGATTTTGGCCCGGGAACTAGTATTAGCTTTCTCCACGGTGTGACTTTAAAAACTGCATTTATGTAGCATTTGATGATGGATTTTACTTGAGAAATATTCCTTCGGGTATCTTTGAATTATACACCCTTGGGAAAAATGAAATAAAATCCCCGAACCACAAAAACCTGCTTTTTTATTCTTTTATGTTGGATTGCTCACCCATGTAGTAATTCAACATAGTGTTGTTGGGTTTCTTTATAGACCTAAGATTTTGTATATTTGAAATCTACAGTACTGAGAGGAATCTTTTGGGATATCAGAATTCTTTTAATGTTTATAATTTGGTCGGGTTTTGAGCTTCTAATTGCAATGACTCATACCCAAGATTCGAAATATGAATTTGGTACTTAATGGCCCTAGGATTCCCGTGACGATATGGTCAGGTTACTTACTCCTCGCTTCTAATAGTAAAAACTATGAACGCAAACCAACATGAGTCCTTCTAACACGTTTTGTCCTCAATCACGTGTTTGCTACAAAAATTCTCAAAAGGTCACCCATCATAAAATTGCTCTAGTTGAATTCGGAGTTCCTATAGTTGAAACACCAAAAAGGAAAGTGCACCTTTTTGATATAGGTAGTAACTTTCAATTCTTTTCAAGATTTTCTCATTCATCTATACTCTTGATTGCTTTCCTTCGAATGTCATCTTTACTCATTCATGTACTCTCTTTGTCCGAGACTAGAGGCCACCCCTATGATGATAGAGATAGATAGTTTCCTAAATAATGATTGTTTGTGTTTTCATTTGCATGGCCCCCTATAGTGGGGCCACTTACTTAGCATTCTTTGAAATACTCAAGCCGTGTGCCACATTATTTTTCAGATCAAGGCAAGGCGCACTTTTACGGAGGACGGTTGCTTCACGAGCAGAGACTATGACACGTGCATAGGGTAGATTCATATTTAAATTTCTAGGTTTAGGTTAGAATAGGTTGTTATGCATTTCATTGTTTTAAATTATTTTGTATTTCTCTTATTTTCTCTTAATTTCAGTATTTCGTATTTAAATACGTAAGGACATGGGTGTGTTTTCTAGAGAATAGTTGTTTTAAGCGTTTTTCGAAGTTTATGTAATAAATGATGGTTATGCGAATGTCATAGAAAAATAATAATAATAATAATAATAATAATAAATAAATAAATAATAAATAAAGATATAAGCCAACAAAAATAATTATAAAAAAATATTTAAAATAATAATAATAAATAAATAAATAAACAAAAAAAAAAAACTTTCCTCACTCCTCTCCACTAACATCTCATCCCATCCCACAATTATCTCTCCTTAAGCCATCTTTAAGAAAACTGAAAAACAACAGATTGGAGTAAAAAAATGAGAATGGTCTTTACCCAGTTGAGACTTTCTGTAGATTTACTTGAAGATAGATTTAATAAATATAATATATATTAAATCTTCATTTTCTTTTATTTTTTTTAGAAATCATAGTCAATTATAGTTAGATGTTCATTAAATTATTACAATGGTTTAGCTTTGAGTTAGAAATTAAGTGTCAATCATTATACGAATTCTAGTAAATCTTAAATTATTACAATGGTTTAGCTCTGAGTTAGAAATTAAGTGTCAATCATTATACGAATTCTAGTAAATCTCACTAATATAAGATTAAATTTATATCAGTAGTCAAATGAATAGATTAAAAATAGAATGACCAAGAAAATTTGTGAACAGTAAACATAAGGAAAGATTTGGAAACACGGATTCACTATAAATTTGTTATACATGAGAACAAAATTAAAAGGCAACATAGTAAATACATATATAAAAAACAGTAAGCCTTAGAAATTAAAAACCACAAACTAAATATAGAGAGAAAGATAAATACATATGGGAGTAAAGCACAGAATAATTTGAAATAACTCTATCTATTTTTTTTATACTACAAGAACCATGGAAAATAAATTTTTTTAATAAAAATATAATTATAGAAAATCATTTCAAGACTTTTAACAATGTAACTGTGTAAATTAGAGAAATAATTTTATAGAATTCAAACTTGAAACTGATGTCATTGGCTCACATAGGTTGACTTGAATTTCAAAGGACAGAATCTAACTTTCATTAAATATATATTCGGGACAACAACTTAAGCTAACCAGGTAAGTGGTCTTACTATCGGCATGGTTATACTTGATGTTGACACGTGCCTGTGGTTCTGCACGTGTCATATATACTGATATGTGTGAATTATCTGTGAATCAGTATGCTTATATTATGTTTATGTTATGTTATAATATGTGAATTGTATGATACTAATTGTGGTACGATGTGTTTAAGGATATGTTTGAGATTGGATACAAGAAGGATGCACAAAACAAAATGTAACGATAGGAGTAAGATACGTTCATGAAACGTTAAGGTTAGATTACATACCGGAGTGCTATGGATAGGAGAGATTGATGAAAGAATATGGTTAGGATATGGGTAGACAGGGATAAGTTTGTGATAGATTGATAGAACGATAGCATTAGGGTAAGTTCCTGTGATGATATGACTAAGGTACGTTCACGTAACTATATGACTGTGATAGGTATAAGAACGTTTAGGCTACGATAAGTTAGGAACGATATGACCACGAAGTGTTTACGATATGACATGTTTATGAACAATATATTGTGATGTGAGGTGTTATGTTTAGATTTTTTTGTGTGACCACGAAGGTAATTGTTGAATGAATTGCACGTTATGAAATGACATGTTAAAAGCATGGAGTGTTATGTTATGTTTTCTAAATTGTATATATACAATATGTTATGAATGACATGCTATCACGATAAATGAAATGAAATGTAACCCCGTTAGGATTATGTATGATGCGTAAAGTTAAGAATGCGAAATGACATGTTAAGCATGGAAGATGATAGCAGGGTTATATTCATTAATGACAAAACTAGAAATGTTGGGGGCCTCATGCATTATGTGTGCTCATGCATTTAGGGGAATACTCCTATTCAATCACGAGGGTACAGATGCGTACATCCAATGGCAAGACAATGATTGTTATGTTTTACATACCGTTGTCGTGACGGTTACTAGTTCTAACGGGTGTTCGACCTAAGGAGCTTCCAGAGTATGCTCGCCCAAGGCAAGTGGCTCAGTGGTGTGTGAACCGACTGGTGAGCCCATACTCGCATGTATGGGTTGTGTGTAGAATATAGCCCAAATTACCCGTTAGTACAGTACCGTTAAAATAGATTAAAAGAATAGGTCTCGTCATTGCATTCACATGTTCTTGCATGGATATTAACCTTAAATTAAAACTCTCATAACATTTAATCTTTTGCATGAATATTAACCTTAAATTACCTTCCCAAAGAGGA